TGCAAGTTGTTACCTAATTTAATGCGTATGACGTAATTTGTTATTTACAAATAAAGATATTTTTGTCTGTTTTAAATATTTTTAAATATTAATAAATCTTTTTAATTTTTTTTTAGCAAATTGTGTATTTTGTTACCACGTGTATAGTATGTAACATGCTAATATTCAAAACCCAAAAGATCACAAACTGTCCTCGTAGGAACCAAAAAAGCTAAAACTAGTCAATTACAATATTTTCCTATAAACTTCAAGAAATCGTACATTCCGAAAATGGTTCTACTTTCTTTTGATTTGGCTCTAAGGAGAGAATGGACAAACTGAAACAAATAAAGTAATCGACGTATTCAAGTTTGAGTAAGTGTACGTCTCGAACTCATTCGTGTGTGCTTGAAATCAGTTAAATGCCCATATAACTAAGTAATAATCGGAATCTCCCAAAAGAAAAAAAAGCAGTAGAGAAAAAGTAAAAGTCACATAAAGAAATCAATCAATAAGAAAAGACGGGCATCTTGAATTAGCATAAAGAAGCCAAGAATATAAAGATTTCAGTAAAGACACGGGCGGCGGCCATATCCTCTAAAGGGCTACCATTTTGCTCCGACTGTGGTGCAAAAGTCCGTACAACATCATCCTTGGAGTTTGAGACCTCCAGTACAATTATCAATTATCAATTGTAGGTGGACATTGCTAATATCAATGCATGTACTTTGCTTACATACAACCCCAATCTAGTTGGGATTTTTAATAAATTTTAATAAAAGTCAAATAAATAAGTGAATAAAAAGTTGTGAATATCATGATATGATGTTAAAATTATTTGTTAACTTTAATTTGAATTAAAAACTGATTTTAATTTTCACTACAGAGATGTAAAGGTTAGTCGAGTCCACATGCTAGGCCTCTCTTTTCAACGACACGATTTGGTCATTTCACATCTCTAAGAGTCCACAACTTGTCATAACCCTACAAGGAGGTTTGAAAAAACAATTGACGACAACATTTATCTTGTACGACGAACGTAGTAATTTCTTGATTTGTATTCATAATTTCTTTTCATGCAATTGATATATGTCTCTAGGCATTTACATTTTAACTGTTAAGGTTCTTCCCATGCTCGAATCAGTCGAAAATCTTGATAGAAAAAAACCCATGGTGTAGAAATTATGCAGTTTAATAGCAGTTAGGTCTCATTATCTTGTGCTAATTGAGTCTTGAATGTGTGGTAGGTTGTCATAAAGCATTTCCATATTAAAGATGCTAAGATTTTTCCACAATAATTGCCTTTGAAAATAGGCCAATTGAAAGAATCTCAAGCACCGTCCCCCTACTATCTCAATTCTCATGTTGTAGGTGTCATTTTTTTCTTCACCTATTTTGACGTAGCGTGAAACAAAAATTCAAGCGAAAACCTTAAAAACACAAATCTGAAATCCACCATAGAATGAAAGATAAATTCAAGAAGTTATATTCATTCAATAATTGCCTAAAAATGTAAAGATAGCCCTTTATTTACAAGGGTTTACACAAAAACCTAGTTTAAAAGCACTAAAATTGAAAAGAATACAAAATAAACTAAATGACACAAAAAGCACTTAAACTTTAAAAGCATTTTTCGAGTCCTAAACGAATCAAATTGTTAAAATCCACCATATGTTATGGTGAAGGGATGTGCTCCTCCGACTCGTTCTCTTTCAGAAAAGATATTATGGGTCAGAGCTCGAACGCTCAGACGTATTGCTCAAAATTCTTGAACTTGGAGAGGAACACGAATATTATACAAGCAAAGTAACGATAAGCTCTCTTGTCATGAAAAACACACAGAATTTCAGGTCTCAATTTCAAATGCCACAACATAGCGAAAGATCTGAAGCTTGTTGGAAAGTAAACTTGATTTTGGAGTAAGTAATATGAGTTTAAGAATTTTGCTCATAGGCCCAATTCAAAGGCCCAACAAAGTCTAGCATTTTCTAGAATTATATTCTAGAAAGACCCATGTAAAAATCTAAGTAATAGA